AGGACAGGAAGGCCTGGCGCAATATGGTTCATGGGGTCACGAAGAGTCGGACACAACTTAACGACTGAACAACAACAACAACTCCCATCGCTTTCTAGCCATGCTGGCCAAAGGCAATGGAAATTGTAACCCGACACATCTAGAGGTACTAGTATAAGGACGGTTGCTACACTTGTATTTGGAAATATGTGGAAAAATAATTATTGGGGGAAAAACAAGAAAAAGTAAAGATATAGGAAAATGTATAAACTCTATTCTGGTGTTAACCAAAACATTCCTGGGCTTAGCTTATGTTCTTTATTTGATCTCTGTCTTCCTAACTGAAATCACTGTGATTAGCAGATCTTAAATTCTACTGCAAGAATTCCCAACTTTTATGTGGATCATTGGACTGTAACAGAAATACATGCCAGGGCCTAGTAACGTGATGCCTTCAGGCACCATGACACATGGGACCTTCTCCCTATATAGCTTGAAAATTAATTTAATAATAATAATAATTTTAAAGATAGCTGAAAGCATGTGTGATCACCAAATCTCCAAAAATGTTGATGTTCCAACCTGGCATCTTGCAACATTTTCCACAAGAACGCAACATCTTGTGAAATTTGGCAATTTCCTGAGATTGGGTTTATTTGGGACACTGGAGGCAAGGGCAATCCACACTACCTTTGCAGATTCTCAGGTTGGGAAACATTGTTCTAGCGACAGAATAATCTCACCAGGTTGAAGTCTGCCATCTACGTCATTCTTCACAAGAAGGGGGGGAAACTATATGGCGGCTGTCACCAAGAGTTAAGCTCAATCCAAGGATAGATATTTTTTTTTATTTTTGCTGAATCATTTCGTTTTGATGTCTCACTTGTCCACCTTATTACTTTTATTCAAAACAAAAGTTGACAATGAGAGTCTGGTTGGATACACTGAATAAAATTCCCCTAGAATAACATTTTGGGCTGATGTATTTGATATCTACTCTCACGTAGGAGTTTGTGACCTCACAACAAACAGGGATTGTCACAGCAAGGTGCTCTGGATTCTAGCCAAGATTACTGCTCCCCATTTAAATGGGGCAGCTGCAATTTTGTCAGTTGTCAGCTGATAGACCCCTGGATAAATCATTTACCCGGGAGTAGGATTAGATTCAACCAGCCATGTTGCACAAACAGTGGCCACTGATTGGTTCACTAAGCCATGAATTTTTAAAGTACTGTATGGTTTAATCAATGACTTAAAGTTGGATGGGTCCATCCAACCTGTTAAGCCCATACAAAGCAGTTTGGTGCATTTATTTATTAGATTTATATGGCTGCCCATCTGAAAAACATGACTCTGGGTGGCTAACCGTGTTAAAAAACATACAAAAAAACATAAAACCCCTAGCAGCCAGGGGAAAAAAGTATAAAAGCAATGTGTCAACACAGCCCTAAACTTGATCATCTGAATCCGACCCTAATTTGGTCACTGTGAATCCTGGCCACAGAATTCTGAGAACAGAAGGCTCAACATCTGGAGGGCGCCACGTCTAGGAAGATTATCTTCAGCTACCTCAGCAATCAGAACTAGATTGACTCCAGAGCGTTAAACTGCAGAAGTTCTTGGCCAGGGGAGGGGGTGGCTGGCAGAGAGAGAAAATTAAAATCACAGTTCTAATTACGCTTGGAAAGAATCAACAGAAACCACCTCTTTGACCCCACACACCTGCCAGAGTCATCAGCACATCACAGTTTTCTGTGGGGACCGTTTTCATCCACGATTTATTGGACATGATGTAACGCCCAGCCTGCAGTAGACGTTTCCCAAACAGCTTGTCTGTGAAGAGAGAAGTACAGATGGTGAATAATTGAGTGCATTTGGAACCTGCATCTTTACTGAGCTGAGATGCATTGAAATGAGACTTGGATGTCCTCTCCTTTCCATCCTGTGACAGACCCGCCCCTCAATCAATCAATATTTTATTACGGTCACAGACCAGAATACCCACTTCTCTTTTTCTTTGAATCTCAGGATGGTGTCAAAGTCTTGTGTCTTTGACACAGCATCCCACCTTATGAGAGACTCAGCAGCACATCTGCCCCTCATTCCCGAGCTGCAAAGGGGGAGGTGGGTCATCATGGGGCTGCTGTGAAGAGCAACAGAGCAGAGCAAATGGCAATTTGGCAAGCTTGTACCAGTGGGGCGTCTTGGGGACCCTTGGGAAGCTGACCCCCAAATTGTCTACATTGCGCCCTTTCTTTGACATGCACGTACATAAGCCGATTACCAAATGTTGGGGAGAAGGAAACAGGAAAAACAGTTGATGTCCTCCTTAAGAGATTGGAATGGGATGTTGGACTAGGTGCACCAACCTAATCTGATCCAGCAGGGCTTACAGTATATTAGTGCTACTAATAGTTAGAGTAGAGTAGAGCTAATAGCTAGAGTAGCTATATCAGTAGCTACTCTACCTTGAAAAGCCATCAGAGCTTTCATGTTCGGTGACAGTCCCTCTGAACACCAGATGTCATGGAAAATAACAGGGAAAGATTTTCCTCAATCAGGCACCCTCCAGTTAGGTTAGACTACGATTATTTCCAGCTAGTGCAAGAATGTTCGCCCTGGCTGAGTATGATGGGAGCTGTAGTCCAGAAAATCCAAAGGCACGTGGCTGGAGAAGGCAGCTTCTCTGTGATACCACCTAGCCTTCCTTGGAAACAGATCCTGAACAAGCCAGAACCTATGCTCTTAGTATGACAGGAAACCCATCAACATGAAACAGTACATTAAATTCTGAATGAACAATGCAAATCTATTAATATATTGCTCAGACAAACTTATGCAAGCACTTTAGTAAAAATACATTCCTATTCATCATGCTGATTATCGTTTTAATGCATGCTGAGAAGAAGGACTGAGGACCAACCCTGACCCCATGGAAACCTGAGTATTAGGGCTTGTTTTGAGAGGAGAAGCTGGACTCCTGTGGGAAATCTCACTTTCTCACTTTGCTGGAAAGATTCTATAAACACTTTGGTTACGTAGGAGCAGAAACATTTCAGTGCAGGAGTAAGGCTAAGGAAGAACCTCACTGAGGAAGTAGGGGTAAAGCTTGGTGGAAAACAATTTAGATTAAATAGTCTGTCTTTCCACTTTAACATCCCCAAACTGTGCCCTGGTTAAGTTTGGCTCCTTCTCCACTGCCAATCCTCTCCTCTGCAGAAGTATTGTGCCTATGCTTTCCTCAGCCACACCTATGCCCAGGCAAAAATTCAACAGGTGAAGTATTTACCATACCAGTCCACCTCAAGCTAGGCTTTATTTACAGTTTCAGCCCTAGAAAACTATCAGTCAGAAGTCCAACGCTCTGCCGCAAATTGAGCTTGCTCCAAAAAAGGAACAAAGCTGTTTTTTAAAAAAATACATCCAAAAGCCAGCATAATAACCCATAATACGTACCAATGCTTTACTTGTTCAGTGCCTGCTTCTTGCCCCACCACCAGAATAAAGGGGGCAGCGCTAGCCAATTCTTGCTAAATGTCATGGCGGGCCTATAAACCAGCATCTCTTCATGCAAGCTCCCATCTCTTCAAGGGACTCGGGTTTTCTTTCTCTCCCTCTGGTTCATCTTGATGTGCAGATCACCCCCTCCCCCAGCTTGCACAAAAGGGCCCCTTTTACCCCGTTGCAAGACAGCACCAGCCAGATGCCACCAGCAGCAGCAACCTTCTTACCTACACCTACCATTGGGAAATCTCCACTGCAAAGATGGAGAAATGGAGAGGGGGAGGGAATGGGAATTTTGAATAGACATTTCTATGGCAACCACCTCTGATGATGGATTTCCCAGTAGTTTGGGCTGTTCTCAGCATATACCGAGTCCATTGATCTACAGTCCCTGCTGTCCACTAACAAGCTATAAAACATCCAAAATTGGCAGTGGGCGCTCAAACCAGAATTTGGGATCACATCAGAGATACTGTGCTGGAAGCAAAGCCTTCCCCAGTGAGATGTGAGGAAACTTCACTTCCCAGAATCTGCAGCATGGTGGGTCAGGGGGAAAAACCCTTGGCAGGATCCACAGCTGGGGAGAACAGAAAGGCCACCATTGTGGCATCCTTGTCTGGGCTGCACAAAGTGAGGGTTGGAGACAACAGAGGCCAGTTCCTTTCTAGTAAAGTCCTTGCATGTATGAATGCCATGCGTATTTCTTAAGCACATGGGCTTGACATGTACATTTCAGCAGAGAAACATACTGTAGGGCTGGCTCTTTTAACCACTGAAACAGGCACCACTTAGCAGCATAGGAAGATAAGCCCTAATGGTCTATAGCAGTGTTGTCCAAATTTGCCCACTTTAAGATGAGTGGACTTCAACTCCCAGAATTCCCCAGC